ACTGGCCACTTCAAGGGAGAAGATAAGGCTTTCGGTGCCCAGGAAGGTTTGCAGTCCTGACAATCAATCCTATCTAAGGTTGCTACCGGTTGGAAACTGCCCCCACTCATGGAAGCAAATTTTAAGATAGGAGATTTTGTTGGTATTTTGTAAGTATGATTTCCGTTATGTGAGACCCAGGGTGAAATCCCAAGTCGTGAGTAATGATCTCTTGCCATAGTAGCATTTAATATAGGGAAGATATATTAACAGCATACATAAGATAGTTGAAGTTTAATTGAGAGTCAGTGATTATTTTTAGAACTACTTTAAGCACTATATTCGCTTATATTCCTGAGTTTCCCATATAAAACCAGACTTCTGCAAGTTCATTTCAGGAAGCAGGATTTTAAATAGAATTCTAGGTTGAAAACAGGTTGAATTTTTAGTCAGAATCCAGACTCCAGTTATAATATCTGGCTATCTCTATAGGTGTTTATGTCTTCTTGAGAAACTGCTTTAAGTAAACCAAGTTGCTTCTCATGAGTCATGATGGCGCGAACTTTCCCCGTCCAGCTTCATGTTGCTTGTTGGAATCGAGGTGAAACCAAGGTCGAATTTTGATCAGTAACTTATGTTGCTATGATGCTGAAACAAACCAACCAGTTTTTAGTGGAGTTCCAGACTAAGATAACCTAGGAAGAAAGGCCTGGTGCTTTATCTTCAGTAAATCAGCCAGTGAAAACCCTGTGTATCCCAGTGATAACTCTGCAGGGAGTTGCCATGTGTCTGAGGCTGAGCTACCTGATAGCAGCTAAAAACAACCTGAGTTCAGAATATGGCCTACCGAGACGAATGTTCGTGGTTGTTAGGTGCCTTGTGTGGGACAACAGTTCCAACTCAGTTATGTTCTATAGCTCACCATTAAATTTAGGTTTATAGAAAAAGCTCTTTTAATTTGAAATTATCTTCAGGCAAATTTTGTGCCCCTTGTAGGAAATATTTTGATGTGACACTTCCTCGAACCTCAGTTTCAGAGCAAAAAGAAACAAGAAACTAACTCCATCAGCAACTTTTCAAAGAACTGTTCAGTTTAAAACTAGAGACAAAGCTCAAGGGAAGTCAGGGATTATCACTAGTGTGTCTCCGTTGAAGTTTGAACAGTGGGAGTAGGGATAGAATTTATATTTAGTTGCTTTCATTTTCTAAGCACTGCTATATATTTTACATTAGGCTTATAGTCAGAACTCAAATTATCTAGTTTTATTTATAATTTAGGGGGAGACTTGGTGGTGCAGTGCTTAAAGCACGCCACAGTGGAAATCCACAGACTGCTGCTATTCCACTGGAGAAAGTTGTGGCAGTCTGCTTTCCTAGAGCTTACAGCAGGGGTCCTCACACTACAGCCTGCCGAGGACATTGATCCAGCCCACTGGGTGTTTTTGCCCCGTTTTGTTTTTTAACTTCAAATTAAGCTATGTGCTGTGTGCATAGGAATTTGTTCATAGTTTTTTTTTAAACTGTAGCCTGGCCCTCCAATGGGTCTGAGGGACAGTGAACTGGCCCCCTGTTTAAAACGTTTGAGGATCCCTGGCTTAGAGGCTTGGAAACCTCTCTCTTGTAGGGCCAAGAAGGAGCCCGGAGGGGGGTGGGGGGCGGGGGAGGGCGGGGGCGTAGTGGGTCACAGGTTAGTCTGCTGACCACCAAGTCAGCAATTGGCACCCACCAGGTGCTCCATGGGAGAAAGATGGGGCTTTCCACTCCCATAAAGATGAATAGTCCTGGAATCTACAGTGGCAGTGAATTCTACCTTGTCCTGTAGGGCCACTATGAGTCAGTATCAATGGAATGGCAATAGGTTTGGTTTTATTATAGGGTCAAAAGGCGTTAGATTTGAAAAACAGCAATGAGTGTTGGGAAGTATGTAAACTTTCTCATGAACTATTTTTTTGTTTTATTACATACGCTTTTACTTAACGAACTACCCCTTTGTTACTTTTAAATACTAAGTGATTTTGATAGAACATTATCTTGAATGTATTGTTTCGGGAAAAGCTTTCTTTTCTTTTGTTTGTTTTAAAGCTCTCTTGTATAGCATACATGGAATACAGTACTCCTGTAAATTGTTGCTTAGTAACGAGACAGACTCGTTTAACACACGTGGTCTTCAGCCTTCCAAAGCATTTCCCTGTTGACTTCTTTTTGTCCTCCTCTGTGTTTACGAAGCAGAGAGCCAGCAGGTGGATTTCATTTTGTCCTCCCTCGGTAGCAGTGCTCTCTGTCTGTCGGTACCAGTGTGCTGTGCTGCTAGTTATCCATCTCCTTCTGCTGTGTCAGTGGTGCTGTGATGAGCTGAAGTTATGACTCTTCCTGTGAAGGAAACACCCGGAGCTTTATGACAGACAGTACTCAGAAAACCATTGATTTTAATTACCTGCATTAAAAACAGTATTTTTTGCAGGTTTCCAGAAATCTAACCAATGAATAACAAGAATGCTTTTTTTTGTTACTGCTTTATAAAAAGCTTAATTAATTGAATTACACCCCTAAATTGTATCCACTTAATTATTCTTGTTGGAGGAAAATCTAATAGGTGACATATGTAACTACCTGACGTCAACATCAGCCCACCTTAGGCTAAGGTGACCAGATTTTAACATTGGTAAAGCGGGACACCATTGATAAACCACATATCCTGGCGAAATAGCTACATGGCAGCCGAAAACTGTATACCCTAGCTTGTCGTGCATTCTTTCCAAAAATTGGGGCTTTTTTAAAACACGCAGAACATGGGGAAAATTGTTAAAAATTGGGACTATCCCGCCAAAAGCAGGACGTCTGGTCACCTTACCTTAGGCACTTTCCTATAATAGGTACAATGTATCTCTCACCATGGCTAATGGACTGCTTTATTGGATGGACCTTTAAAGAGAAGCATATATCACACACATGCATGTTGTTCTTTCAAGAAAATATTTGCATTTCAAACATGGTACAATAATATTCCTTTATTTTTGTTGATCACCTGAAGCTAAATCTAAAGCTAAACCTAGAATAAAAGGTAGCCTGAATTTGACCATTAGCTTTGTGTTAGAGCATGTATTTCATATTTACTCCAAGGTGTGTGTTTATTCAAACTCATGAATTCATTGGCTTGCTCTTCATTCCAGAGGTGGCCATCCGTACTTGACCGGTTTAGCAGTGGCTGGCGGAGCATACTACCTAGGTCTAGAAGGAGCTATCATCGGGCCTATACTTCTCTGCATACTTGTGGTGGCTTCCAATATCTATAGCGCCATGTTGGTGAGTCCCACGAATTCAGTGCCCACGCCAAACCAGACCCCATGGCCTGCCCAGACTCAACGGTGAGTTGAAGCAGAATGTTCGTGTGTGAAACTGGAACCGTTCTGTCTGCGTCTTTTTGTGTCTTACTGATCTGTCAGAGTATAGGTATCTCAGTATAGTGCTGTGCTAAAGGTTGTAGAACATGCTAAGGAAATATATGTAATTTGTTTATAGGCTTCAAGCCTTCAGAAACGAAATTGAGTCAGAATTGTTACTATCACGAAAGATCAAAAGTATATTAGAAGGTGAAAAGGCATTTGTGGGGCCTGATATACTAGATTAAGAACAATCAAGATATAGGGCAGCCAGGTGCAGTGCATCAACTCTTGATAGGATCCAGAATTGGGGGTCATGGGAATCTATAAAGGATATTTCTGGGATAGTGGGGGATTTGGACTATGTTAAGTACTATTACTAAATGATAAACGGCTTGGCTGTGATCATGGTTCTTGGATTATCTAGGAGAACATCCGTAGGGGTGAGGAGTCACAAGGTCTACAACTTGTTTCCCAATAACGTGAGCCCAGCTCAGGGATTGGGAGAGAGACCGTGGTAGGGCATACGGTTGTTCAGTATACGGCTCTTTCCGTTTTTCTGTGGATTTAGACTTTTCCAAAATGAGTTGGGGAAAATTATTTGGGGGCACCAGTATAGAGGTGCAGTTAATTATTTTGTAAGTAAACTTTTCATTTTGAAGCATATTTTGCATTGGTGAAATGCATGCCTTAATTTAGAGCTTGGTGATTATTTTTGTAAACATATGTAATCA